TATGGCTTTTCCTTCGTTTTAAGGCTGGTATTTTGTTTTATTGCAGACTTGCCTTGAGGATCCTGTGGCAGTACATAAAAACATAAATAAAACAGAGGAATAAGCAATAGCAACTCAACACCTGCAGCGTTATTACATTTTGACGCTATAATAAGCAGGCTTACATTCCAGTTTCTACAGAATAGTTACACCGGGAAGGGCAGGAGGGATCTTCATTTCCCAAGACAATTGCCCATCTAAATGTTGTGCACCATGAAACAGTCTAGTTATAATAACAAACAGGATTTGGATTTATATCTTCTGTACCTGTGCTCTTGTAACACCTTTGGTCAACCATTCTTTTTGTAAATCTGCATAGATTTAGTCCTTGGGACTAATTTAATTGTGGAATATAAGTTGAATGATAGATAGATAGATAGATAGATAGATAGATAGATAGATAGATAGATAGAGCCATCTGGATTCACTTTGCTGCTTTGGAGGGGGAGATGGTCTCTTGACAAAGCCTCTTTTAAAGCATACAGAATCACAGAAAACACAGGTGCACACGTCTGTGTGAGTTGCTTCCCTTTTTCACTCAGCCTCCAAAACATTTAGATAACCAGTTTTGCTGGCTAAATGTTTTTCCCTTCTCTGTTAGGAGATGTGGCTAAGGCATCACTGGGGTCCCTCAAAGAACAACAGTGCCATACTCCTTTCTTTCCCAGTCCCAGAATGTCATTCCCATGTTGGCTGTGAAGAGAGTCTTCTGACTCTGGATCCAGAAGGCATGGAAAGAGCCAAGGAGAGAGGGAGGACCCTCTGTAGTTGGATCTGATACTCTGACCTATCCTGTGACTTCCCAGACAACACCAGGAGGCCATAGGATCATACCCTTAGTCTCTTATAAAAAGGAGTTTACCACCAGCTCTGTGTCCAATTTTCTTTGGTCATGTCCCCATTTAAAACCGGACAAGCTAGTGACTCTTATTGGGTATCATCTCTTCTTTATTACCTTGTGCTATTTCATTTGTAGTTTTTTCTAATACAATGAACTTGTGGAGGGAGGGGTTCAACATGTCCCTGCTGTCCCTGTTCTTGACTTTCATATGCTTATTTCTATCTGTGTAGGTTCTATCTAGGCATTTAGCTGCATAATCTACAAGAGGTCAAGGGCTTGACCATTCAGCACTTTCTCACGTTCCCCTTCCACAGATTTCTACTCTTGGGCAGAGGTTATTTCTTTATATATTTATAAATCATTTTATTTATATACCACTTAAAATAATAAAACCCCTAAGCAGTTCACATACCTTCGTTAAAATCACATTTAAAATACAATTAATATCTTAAAATCAAATTCCATTTTCAAAATACACAGCAATTGATATAAAAGGAGATAGCATGATTAATTTAAGTATAAGCCTTGGACAACCTGAGTGAACAAGTGTGCTTGCAGGAGATGTCTGAAACTTGCCACATTTTTCTCCTTCTGAGGATTTTCCTGTTGGTGGGTGTTGCTACTGGCTAAGGATTGCATGGCGACATTTGTTTATTTTGAAAGGGGCAGTGAGGCTTTCTTTGCTTATCTTGAATGTCAGCTGTGTATGTGTAAGGGAAATAAATCAAGTGGATACCTTGGGTCCGGTATGTCACATTGCATTGCTTCACAAGTGAGACCTGCTGTAAAGGGCTGGCATTCGGAATGCTCCTCTTCAGGATCTCAGCCAGTCCTTTTCCATGAAACTGCATTCCAGTCTCCCACCCTGCCCATTTTTGGTCCACTACATAATATTCAGTCAGCATCCTGTGACTACTGTGCTTTCCCATTAAGCAGCTGGAGGGATTTCTCCCCATTAGGCTTTTTTAACCCTTTATCTGTGCAAGCCTGGGGTTTTCCCTGAGTATGCCAATTTTTCAACTTGGGCATAGCTGGTGCCGTTATGGCTGAACAAGAATCCATACTGATAGAATGACTTCAGTACATACTACCATAGCTTTCACCAGTCTAGTGTTCTCCAGATGTTTTGAACTCCAACTTTCACCCACCAAACTAGCATAGTCAATGGTCCAGGAGTGCGAGGAGCTGAATTCCAAACATCTGGAAAGCACCAGGTCAGAGAAGGCTGTACTATGCAAAGGTTGTGGTACCACTTTACTTTTCTTTTGTCAAAGCCCTAATCTAACAATCTGTTTAACCCTGTGACTGATGTTTAATGTGCAGATTTTCCTAAAGCATTTACTAAGCCTCTTTTTACCACTTAGAATCAACTTGTAATTGAGACCTTTAATCATTGCTAACCACAGCACAAGCTTTTCCCAACCCAATTCAGTCACTAGCAGATAGATTTAAGAATTCAAGATTAAAAGGCGGAGTGAAAAATTGGTCTTAATTAGCCCTGTAAAATATTCTGCTCCTGCTTCATCCTCTTGGCACTTGGGAGTGTTTTTGTTTGTTTGTTTTAAGATAGTTTGCTTTGCTTTTTGGGGAACTTGAGGAATTAAAAGACTGGTCCCAGAATATTCACTACAAGCACACCTTTGTGAATTTTTACTACAAGTACACCTTTCTTCCAAGCCATGCAGAAAACATCAAAGCTATGTTTAATGAACTTAATAAGTAGAAATTAATGTGAAATAGACCAGGAAAGGATGACTCTACTGTAGTCACCATAAGCCCTTTGGAGTCTTGCTTGTTTCACTGAGGTTGTATAAGAAATAATTCTTTTTTCCCTCCATATTATACATTCAAGTTATAGGGCAATAAGAATCATGTATGAGTAGGTTTGGAGAAAGCTGCATATCCCAAGAAACATGATGTTTCCATTTGCAGCACTTCGATTAGAAGTCACATATGCCACTGATATTTTAAGGCACTGGCACACATGTCATCATGAAAGTTAATGGACTTAATCAATTTTAAAGAGAGCTTTTGGGGTGACGCTTTCGTGTACAATCCATATGCTGCTCACAAGTAAGTTCCTGGGCACATTTAGAAATGGAGTTGTTATTGCTAGTCGCGAAGTCGTGTCCGACCCATTGCGACCCCATGGACAACACTCTTCCAGGCCTTCCTGTCCTCCACCATCCCCCAGAGTCCACTCAAGCTCACACCAACTGCTTCAGTGACTCCATCTAGCCACCTCATCCTCTGCCGTCCCCTTCTTCTTTTGCCATCTATTGTTCCCAGCATTAGGCTCTTCTCCAGGGAGTCCTTCCTTCTCACTAGGTGGCCAAAGTATTTGAGTTTCATCTTCAGTATCTGGCCTTCTAAAGAGCAGTCAGGGTTGAAGAAATGGAGTAACTTGTGCTTATTTCCTTTTTATCCCTGCCTGATGCTGCTTCTGATGCAACAACCTGGGTGCAAGTTTGTTGCGTAACAACTGATGGGGAGATGGGTGAAGAAGTTTCTCTTGATCCAGGTGGGAATTGCAAAGTAAGGAGGAGTCTGGCAGTGATGTTGTTGGAATCTGTAGTTACATTGGTGGCCAATTGGAAAAAGCCTGGCCAAAATATAAAAGAAACCTCCGACACAATCAAGGCTTTGTGTTTCTTCTCTTTAGTGGTGTTCCTAATAGCCTGGGGGTATACATATTGTATTGCTTATTCTGAAGGGATTGGTACAGCAAAGACAATACCCGACTTTTAGGAAAGATAGACACAAATGTAATTGCTATGTAATGGTAAACTAACAAGTCAAAAGTGTGAATTGCCGCTTATTTGGTGTCTTTGTTGGGTGTTTATCTTAGTATTGGTGATAGAATAAAACCGCAAATGTTTTTAAATCCAAGGGAAGCACTGATACCTAGAAACCGCAACAAATCTGAAATGCATGGGCTACTGTCACTAATGATGTGCTAGACGTCTTTTTGTCTCTGGAAAAGGAATTTTAAAGACAGCTGGAACCAGTGTTAATAATCTATTTAGCTACAGAGTACAGCTGTTCTGCACCAACAATGTTTGTATATTGTATCTGCTGCCTAAATTTGGTATCAAGACAATGTATTATAATATCCTTCTAAGGACAATGAAAATAATTTCCACAAGGAAAACAGCCTCCTCTTCTTTTTCTCACTTTGTTTTGCATCATGGCAATATGGAAAAAATCTTCCAGTTTTCATTGTTGTGCCAGTACACACAAATGGCTTTTTATATGGGAATGGCCTTGGGGATAGATCCTGCTCCTCACTCGTTGGCCATAGCAAGGCAACAGGCAAGCACAGTGCAGGTTTTTCAAAGAACTCCTTCACAGTGATGTGAAGTAGATCTTGCAAAGGTACACAGCAAAAAGCACGTCTGTAAAAGCCACATGTATCTTGGCTTTATGGAAGCGGCACCATCGGGAGGCTGTCCAGTTATGTACAGCCAGGAAGACAAATGTCTCTTTCAAAAAGAGAGCACAGGTGTGCATTTAATTTGCATATGCTAATATCTATGTTTAGCTTAGACATAATTACTGTAATTCAAATGCAAATAAAGAGTATGCCTCTCTGCCTGGTGAACCTGTTTGGTCTGCTGTCCAGGTGCTCACTAACTTTTCATGGGCAGCTTTAGCATTCTTGCTCTCCACTCCTATTCTCAGACTGGATTTTAAATAGACAACACCTACAAACAGGAGCCATCCTCTAATAGCCCTTCAAATAGAGGACTGTCTGCTTCAAAATAGTACACATGGCCACTTGGCTACATTTTGAAATGTACATATGATAACAACTTACACATCAGGGGAAGCAGGAATACAAGAAGGGAACTAAACTTCTCAGCCTGAGATGTTCTCTGAGCAGTTTTGGACTCAGCTTTGATGGAAAATAAATATATGCAAATGCATATATTATAGTAGTGGGATGGCTATGAATCTACATGTGAAATGGATTGAATAGATTGAATTCTCCAGGAACACAATGCCAAAAGCATTCTGCTCCCTCCCTCACTTTCTCTATAAAACAGTTGCAATTAGTGGCCTACTTCCTTATCTATTTTGTCCATTTCTTTTAAATTACTTCCTTTCCTCCTATTCACAGTTCCACGCCAGCCTGGAGTAAGCAATAATCTCTTTGAAACTTTTGAAATTGAAAGAGGGATCAGCGCAGATGAGGATGAAGCAAATGATGATCCTGGTAACCCTCGCTCTTCTCACTTGAGAGCTTGCATGATGCACATGGGTGGGGAAAGGTGGTTTTGCAGGCTTGTTTGCATTTACTGGCCATGCAATTGTGTTTCCTGAATATGGCCCTTGAGTTAACTGGCTTGCAAGGCAAACCAGCTTTAAGTCACTTCGAAATAACTAAGGGCATCATTTTACATATTCTAAGGGGGGAAGGGAAAATCCTGTGACTCCCAGCATTGATTATCTGATTATCTGGACCCATTTCAGTCTGGTTTCAGACCCAGTTATGGTACTGAATCTGCCTTGGTCACTCAGTATGATGACCTGTGCAGGGAGAGGGACAGGGGGAGTGTGTCCTTGTTGGTTTTCCTGGACCTCTCAGTGGCCTTCGATACCATCGACCATGGTATCCTTCTGGATAGACTGGCTGACTTGGGAGTAGGAGGCACTGCATGGCAGTGGTTCCACTCCTATCTGGCCAGCCGATTCCAGATGGTGGTGCTGGGGGACTATAGCTTTGCGCCATGGCTGATGACATGCAGCTCTACCTCTTATTTACATCTGCTCCAGGTGAGGCAGTGGCTGTACTTAACAGGTGTCTGGCCAAGGTAATGGGCTGGATGAGGGCCAATAAACTGAGCCTCAATCCAGATAAGACAGAAGTCCTGTTGGTGGGTGTTGCAGGTCTCCAGGTAGGTAATTTTGACCCAGTTCTGGACTGGGTAGCACTCCCTCTAAAGGACAGGGTCCGCAGCTTGGGAGTACTCCTTGACCCAGAGTTGTCACTGGCATTCCAGGGGGCGGCAGTGGCAAGGAGTGCTTTCCTACAACTTTGACTGATCCATCAACTGCATCCTTACCTGGATGAGCACTCCCTACCAACAGTGATACATGCTCTGGTAACTTCTCGCTTGGATTACTGCAACGCACTCTTCGTGGTGCTGCCCTTGAAAATGGTCCAGATACTGCAACTGGTACAGAACAGAGCTTCCAGGCTGCTGCCAGGGACCGGCCATTACTCTCACATAACGCTGGTCCTCTGTCAGCTTCACTGGCTTCTAGTTGTAGTCCGGGCCCAATTCAAGGTGCTGGTTTTGACCTATAAAGCCCTAAATGGCTTGGGACCAGGATACCTGAAGGAACGTCTCCTTTCTTATATGCCCTCATGCCCTTTAAGATCTATGGGAGAAGCCCTACTCCGGGAACCCTCTCTAAGAGAGGTAAAAAGGTCATCAACCTGGAGTAGGGCCTTCTCTGCTGTGGCGCCCAGACTCTGGAATGTACTCCCCAGAGAGGTACGCTAGGGACCAAGTTTATACTCTTTTCAGTGCCAGGCCAAAACCTTTTTATTCAAATAGTATTTTAAACTTCAATAGTTTTTAAGTTTAGTCGCTCTGTTTGTTTTGTAATTTGTTTTGTTCTGTTTTATTATTTATTGAAATTGTTGTTTTAATTGTCTTTTTAAATATTGTAAGCCATCCTGAGGTCTTGTATAATAGGATGGAATACAAAAGCTTTTGATAAATAAATAAATAATAAATGATCCAATCAGCCATGTGGAGAATTTAGGCCTTCTTTTGGTTCAAACATGCATAGGATGGTACGCTAAGGACCCTAAAGCTTTTGTCACATGAGATTCCTGAATCAATTTCAGCTTAATTCATGTAGCTATAGAATCAGAGATGACAGAATAGTAGAATTGGAAGGGGCCATGAAGGCCATCGGGTCCAGACCCCTGCTGTAGCAGGACACCAAGTTACACCATCCCTCTCAGATGGCCGCCCAGTTTCTTTCCGAATGTCTCTGGTGTGGGAGACCCCACGACCTTCTTATTGCATGAGAATTCCATTTATATCATTTATTATGTTGCACTGTGTTCTTGTCTCACTGTGCTTCCAGTAGTTTCAGCAGTTGTGAAGCATTGCAAAGCTCCAATTTTTGTAGCCTTGCAAAGCCCCCATTTTTTCCAGATCTAATACAACCCTATGGTTCTTTTGGTTTTTTTTATCTTTGTCATGAAAGACAAATGAAAATTCTAACCAAGTTTACCAGCTACAACAGATGAAGCCTTCTCCTGTTTGACCTTTGGTATCTTCTTCACAGGTGCTCTGGTTCACAGCTGTAACTTTGATGGTGGCCTGTGTGGGTGGATCAAGGAGAAAGATGATGATTTACACTGGGAACCAGTTAAAGACTCCTCAGGTATTGCCTTGAATTTTGTCTGAGCCTACCTTACCACCAAAGATGGAGGAGTAAGAAAAAGTTTAGAAGAAGCAGGCAATCAGAACAGGCAGCTATTAAAAGGAATGTGTTTGGACTGCAAGCACAAACAGCTTGCCCAAGTCAAAAAGGTCATACATTGCCTGTTGATAGGTTTGGGAACAAAATATTAGTAAAAGAGTTTCCACACATCCTCCTGGCATAACCCAAAAGGTACTTCCAAAGACTACTGATAAAAGTGTGGAAGGTTCACAGAAGTCATTCTGGGTACAGCAGCTTTGTATAATATACCTGTTGCCTGCTAAATTCCTTTCTTAAGCTGATCGAGTTTTCCCCTAAGAGGGTTCCTGTGCCTTTAGCAGCTGCAGTAAAGATGGGCATTCAGCAGCTGCACTGTTCCCAAGAACTGAGATGAAGAGGTGGGAAAAGCATCACCTGCTGAATTCCTGCATTTCTAAATTTCACTTTGAGTTAACAATAATTGGAGCTGGCAAACCTAATCCTTGTGCCCTGCTTTAACCATCTTACTAGCTTTGTTCTTTACTGACGCCTGAGACTTCAATCCAAACTGGAATGTAGTACGTTTTAACATTTTCCAGCCATGCCAATAATACTTCGTGGCAGCTTCTTTCAATCTGGTCACCTAGAGATTGTTTGGACTGCAGTTTCCAGCATCCCTGATAATAGTCCATGCAGCCTGGAGTTAATGGCAGTTGTAGTCTGAAGTATTTGAAGGGCACCAGTTTGGAAAGGCTGCTCTATAGCATTAAATTCAAGTCAGTGATGGATCATAATCAACTGCTTTGGTGTGAATGATATTGATGCTGGTGATCCAACAGAGACACAGTTGATTGGATTTGCAGTATTCACTTATAAGATCTTAATTTTTTGTGAGGGGAAATAGTATAATATCATATATAATTGATGTGTTAAGTTTTTGATGATTTTTAAAAGCAATTTTCAATATAAATATTGAATACAGATCTGCTTGGCATTCTTTAGCGGCCTTTCTTGCATATTAGACAGCTCTTAGATGTGATCTTCTTTGTTTTGACAATGCTATCAGTTCCAGGGTTTTGCAAGACAAATCTGTGTGCATCAGGGCTGTTTTATTGTTATGGGTGTCAAGTGCATTTCTAAATCAAGCTCCAAGTCCCCTTTTGTCCGTAACTCAGTCCCTGTTCACATTCTGGGCCATGCACAAAGGCACCCAACAGCTATGAAAAAGGCCTTATTCATCATCAGTTCATGACTTGCTTTGTTCACCTATAAGACACCAATTTTAATATATGTGCCACAGAATTTCTTTCTTTCTTTACTTTTCTTAATGTCCAATTTATAACATTATGTTTGGGTTCTATGCTAGCAAAATTTATGATCAAAGTTATTTATAGTTCAAAGTATTAAAAAAGAAAAAGGAAGTAAAATTAGAAAGAAACAATATAACTGTTCTTGAAATGTGGACGTGGAGTTCAGATGGACCACTGCAGTTACTGATCGCAGGCTAATGGACACACATCCAATTCTTCAGTTTCTAACATACTTTCATATAATTATAAGTGGCATAAATCAATAGGGAAGTTTCGTAACTGGCTTCAATTCTGTGGAATTCTGAATTATGTGAGATGCGGTGATTCATTGCTTTTTGAATTTTTGTAAAAACAACTTATGGAAATATGAGAGGTCTTTTTAAATCAATAAAATGTATATTAGTGTTGGCCAGATTTTTATTTGGAATTGCAAGTTATTTACTTATTAGATTATTATTCTAGTTTTCATATCTGAGTCCTTTTTAACACGTACCTGTAGTCTGCTCTGAGATTCTTTCTTGGATGAAAAAGCCTACTTGTGAGGCATACACAACAATGCGATCTAAAAATGATTTTATTGCATATTTATATTGTTGTTCAAAAACATATTAACATTCACTTTTAACTATTGCTAAACTTTCTTAACTCTTACTGCTTCATCAAGGCAATATATTTAAGTGTGGCCTCTTATCTAGCAATAGGTATGGGTGACTCCGTGTTCTTCATTACGAACGTTTCTGGATCTGGTTGCACATGATCATTTGCATCAAAGGACATATCCCAGTAGTTCAATATGGCTTGGAAGAGGGACAGCTTTGGAAGTATGCACGTATATCTGGAAGGCTGCTAACTAGCTGGATAAGAGCAGTAGTCTGGCAGAGTGCTTATCACTCTCATATAAAAACTGTGCATCTTTTAAGGGCATCTTTCTATCACTTAATAAACCGAGATCAAAATAAAGAAGTCTGCATTAATACAGTGATCAGGTGTTTATATGACACAAAGTTTCATTTATCAGAGTTTTGGTGTTATACATGAAAGGATTGGTGAAATGCACTGTTGATATTACATACCCTTTTGATTTTGGCTTTTTCGGTGGTGCCTGTCTTCTGGTTTCATTTAGTAGCTCATGACTTTTGAAGAGATGATGTCCTAGCAATGGAGAGGCACATGAATGACTTTGAATAAATTCCACATGTTTGGTATCAATCTGACATTATGGCAGCAAGGGGGGCAACAAAGAACATCAGAGTCTTATTCCATATTTGCATGGTTGGGGGGGTTATGTATGGTATGTATGGACATATTTAAGGGTTTTGTTGGAGTGTTGTTGATTTTGGAGAGGGAAGGAGAATCAAGAAACATTAACAGGGTCAGGCAGTAAATTTCTTAGGGCCATGATTTTAAGCGCTGCAAAAGCTCTCCTGTTTTGTTACAATGCAACTGATGTGTGAACATTTGGGATAAGCAATGAACAATTGTCTAATGAGTCCTGAATTATAAACAGTCAGCTGCTCTTTATTAGCTGCTAATAAAATAGTCCACTAATAAAGTGGACTATTTTAATGTGATTCCAGTGACTTGGATCCTGCGTTGCCCTTCCACTATTGGAAATCCATTCTTGGAAAGGCTGTTTCCAAATCGAGTAAATATGAAAAAGGCCTTTGTCAAGAGAAGTTAAGAGTTCATACGCTATAGCAAGTGGCAGTTACCTTAATGCAAGGCCAGATCTCTGGTAGCAGAACACTACAGCAGAAGCGTTTGCAGAACCGCTTCTAGAGCAGGGGGACCTCAGACTTTTTCACCAGGGGGCCAGTTGAAAGGGTGTCGGTGCTGGGCGCGGGCCGGAAAGGTGGTGCCGGCGGTGCACGCGGGGCGGGGTGGGGGCAGGCGTGTGCGTGCGGCAAGGGGAGGCGAGGCGAGGCATGTGCTGCGAGGCGGGCGCACAAGGCAGCGACTTGCTCACTTGGAGATCGTTTTCTCCGAGTGAGCAAACCGCTGCCTCCCCACGCATGGGGCGAGGTGGTCGACGGTGGGTGTGCACATGGATGCGGGCATGTGCGCAGCAGATCCAAATGGGCAAGGCAGGCTGGATCCAGCCCGCGGGCCGGAGTTTGAGGACCCATGTTCTAGAGCGTCACAGGCTTTCTCAGAGAGCCAGCTCTGATGTTGAAGCTGGGAGATTGTGCTTGGAACATCTTCCCACCTTGCAGCCAATGCAGAGAAGCTGCACGAGTTGCTTTTCTGAGGTTGTAAAAGCAACCCAGGAAAAAGGATTTAGTGGGTGGGGAGAAGAGGAGACTGGCATTGCCAAGGTATGAAGTAACCTGGTGGAACCTCATCCTAGTTTCCATTTCCTCTGAAGTCTTCTAGTTAGCTAAAATTGTCTATAGCTGCTTTTCCTTCTTGTTTTTTTCCACCCTGTGGAGGATGCCCCAAATCCTCCAAGTTGGAATAGTTATGGGCATTCCTACAGGATGGTGCTCTATGTCTATTTAAAAACAAAAAATCTAAATTACACTTTCAAAATCTTTGTTACGCTTCCTGGTAGACTGTTCTCTGCAAATGAAGAACAGCAATATTTTAAATTAATCAATAAAGCAGACACATTGAGAACATTCCTTGCACTGAAATACCAAAGGATTGGAATCAGGATTGGACTTCCAGTCATGACTGATATACTTCAAAGTTTATGATTATGTTTAGGAGAATTGTGAAATAAATCTTATTCTTTCCCTTTCAACAGGTGGGCAATATTTGTCCGTCTCTGAACCCAAAGGAAAAGCAGGCCGAGTGGCACGCCTGGTCCTTCCACTTGGCCATTTAGCTCATGCAGGGGATCTGTGCCTGTCCTTCAGGCATAAAGTGTCTGGGCTACATTCTGGTTTGCTTCAGGTCTTTGTGAGAAAGACCGGTGTTCACGGACCAGCAGTTTGGGGAAGGAACGGTGGCCATGGCTGGAGGCAAACACAGATAAAATTGCAAGGATCTGGCCTCAAGAGTGTGAGTATCATTTTGTGATGTAGGAATGGGAGCTGAAGCATTTGGACAGCTAACCCCCAGGTGTAATACTATCTATATTAACCTCTAAGTCAGTCACACTGGTCAGTTTTAAAGCATGGCTGGTGATTATGAATCCCTGGGATTCCTGGGTGGTTAGTTTGAAGGACTAACTAACCAACCTTCAAAAACACAATCTGCTGTGCACATTTTTTCTGTGGCACATGGCAAAAATAAAACCATCCACAGGCATAATTCCCTTGTTAAATTTATTATTATTAAAGTATTTATGCATCACCTTTGTTAGGTATTTGTTACCATTATCCATATTTCAGCAATCTCTTAACAGTTCTCTTAAAATTCTCTTAACATTTCTTAGAATTCTGGGTTATAGGCAATGGTCACATTCTAGTGCATGCTGCCCAGTTTCTCCCACTGGATAAGCAATCCATAAACAGTCCTGGTTTGTTTAGTGTTGTGTGCATACCAGGAACCTTGGCTTGTCTTCCTCCCAACCAGCTAGAGAAATAAGCCTTGGATACTGGGTTACTTCGATGGCTTGTTAGAGAAGACTCACAGATTGTTCTTGAGACATAAAAACACGTCCCTGCCACTGCCAATGATTCCTACCAAGGCCAGCTTTTGTTCCAACAGACCACTCTATATTTTCTAACCTGGTATGTAGGCAGCACTTAAACTATAGTTCCCCAGTTTGACCATGGTTTAAGAAACCAGGAAGACTCCTGTGTAGTCAGGGAAGCAGGGGAACAGAGAAGGATGAGGAGAAATATTTTAAGCCCATCTCTTATTCATGCAGTAACAGTGGTTCTCATTTAGTCTAAACTGGGTCTATATGCAACTGGAGGTTCTCTTATGTTTCTACATTCATTCGAACCCTTCAACTACTTTCATCTTTGCAAACATGTTGAGTTAAAGTCATAAGAACTTTGATTTTAAGAGGAAACGTGGCCACCTGTGGTCCATGTGTTGCTCAGTCTCACAAAGTTAGCATGGTTGACACCACTCTTGTTGGACTTCAAACTAACTTGCAAATTGTTCACTGTTGGGAATAATTAATTCTTGCAGAAGTCAATAGAAGCCTGCATGAAACAGAATGTCTCCAGATGCTATGATCATGAAATAAGAGGGGCATATTTAACACCAGACTCTGTAAATAACAGTAAATTGTTTAGGGGTGAAGAAATCCTAGAATATGCAGCAGGTTGCATGAACTTGTAGAAGATGATAGCTCTGAAAGTTTATTCTAGAAAATTGAATTTAAAAAGATTCCCTGAAGAGATTTATTCAGACATATTGAGAAAAGTCAGTGATCTTCTGACTTTTTCTGATTTTCTGATTTACCAAAGAAGTTCTGATTTAGTAGAAATTGTTTCTAAGAAAATGTATTTTTAGCCCCCATAATTGTGCAAATAGTCTCAATAAGGGTCCATATGAAGTGGGACATGGAAGTTCATTTTCTTGACAGGCCAACCTATATATTTATGAGAAATAATCTTTTGCACTTCACTGTATATATGAAGGTATATATGCATTTTCATAGACTGATATTATGGTAACTCAGCATTCCCATATTCCATCCCTGGCATCTGTAGTTGAAAGGATTTGAAGGAACAGGTTATGGGGAAGGATGGGGAACTGCAGCCTGTCAGAGTAACAGTATTGGATCAGTGGTCTAAATCAGCATTCTATATTCATATCTCAAACCAGGCAAAATGGTGTGTCTGAGGTGGTGCTCAGCTTATGACTTGTAAAGATGGTTTTTGTTGTTCTGAGATCAGAACACTTTTATGGATTCAGATGATGCTATGATTTGGATATCTGCTAGGCAGATCATCAGTGGAACACAGGCAGTCCCCATGTTATGAACATCCAAGTTATGAACAACCTGTACTTACAAACAAACAACCATAAAGACATTAATTTTTAAAAATTACGTGGAAAATTGCCATCACTATAGAGAGAGAGGAAGTGAAAGGGTAGAGAAGGAGGCCTCCAAACATGCCTTCCTGTCTGCCCATCTGAAGAGGGAAATCTCTGCAGCATTTCTTTGCTGAAAAGAGAAGGCACTGGTGAGTTTCAGGAGTGGAGGTTAGAAATATTCACAATTTTTCCACTTTTATGTGGATCCTGCACTCCAGCCTCCGTGAATGTGGAGGGTCAACTACACATGATCTGACTTACACACAGATTTTATTTAAAGACAAATTTCCATTTTCTCAGGAATGGAACTCGTTCGTAACCTGGGCACTTTCTATATCTCTCTCCATTTGTTTACTCTTGCTAGTGAAAGCATGCAAGTCTGGGCAGAACGCATTCAGCATGCAACAGCCATCCTTAGAACTAGTAATAGTAGCTTCCATAGCACTAGAAATAGAGCTGTACCCTTGGGAAGTATGGCTTGTCTTCCTTTTGGGAAGGGTGCTGCTTTCACATGACAAAACCCAGGATCTGAAAGCCACAATTCCCCCTCGCAAATCACCGCTGTGTCTTGGTGCACTTGACAAGATAATGTTAACTAACCGTGAATCCTTCTTTCACTTGAGAAAACAGGTGAGGATGTCAGCCCAGGGCCTGCCAAGTCCAAGTATCCTTATCCAGTTCTGTGGCACTGGCTCAAGGGGGGAAGAAAATCAAACATTCGTTAAAGTAAAATTCAACATTTAAGAAGTTAAAAAATGGAGAAGCTTGAGAAACACTGTCCAGTGACTTACCCCCTTTCATACCTGCAGCTACACTTCTGGTTCTTCCGTTATGAGACTTTCTGTGCATATAGCTGTGGTTCACTTAAATATGCCTGAATGTAAAATTATTTTTAATTTTATTATTTATTTCATTTCTATCTGGCCCAATAGCTGAAGCTCTCTGGGAGGTTTACAATATGATGCAGAAAAGAAATGCAAACCCAATTGTTTCCTTTAAAACAATCCTGTAGTATCCTACACAGTGCTGCACTTTTGGTCATATAGTAAATTCTGTGTTACAGCTCACCTTGTAAAATGTCCTCTTTCTCCAGGTTATTTTTAAAGGCGAGAAAGGAAAAGGAAGAACCGGGGAAATTGCACTGGATGATGTAAGCTTGAGGAAAGGCCTGTGCTCTCAGCACCATTAGTGGTACAGGCAAGCTGTCAAAAGAACATACTGTTATTGTCTGTGCTGAGACAGATGGTGGATTGCCATCCTCTTCTCCTTTGTCTTTGTGAAATCCCAACCTTAAATAAAGCAAATTTTCTGTAAGGGCAAGGTAACTTCAAAGCAACGCTGGAGATTTCCATTAACAATTATCCGATTCATGTTATCTAAATGAAAAGGGGCTCTTGAATTAAAATTAAGGATGTGAATAGCCTTTATGAAGAAGAACAAACTTTGGCTAGACATCAAAGGAGACATCGGTATACACGGAGTTGCCCTGATGGTCTTCTATGTCCTTTCCATTTTGCTGATTATACCGTGTGCCATGGAACTGGTTCAGCTTCATAAACTGAAAGTAACTCAGGCCTAGCCCTGACCTACAGTTGTGTTACTGCCATCAACTTTTAAAGAAGAGTGTTCGATATATTTATGTATAGCATTTATACATTTGTTCTATCTCATTAACAAGAGGCAAACATAGCGTAGGCACTGCATCCCTTAATATTGCTAGTGCTGTGTTCTGTATAAATATATTGTATTTATACTTGTTGTGCATTTGCAGAATCTAGTTGCAAGATAAAATGGCAGCTGTGTACTTTCAGGTTAGATTAGCATACAGAAATCCCCAGAGATAGTCACTTGTTTTCAGTTTGTCACTTGTGAATAGCTAATCACTGTCATTTTGTGTCTTAAGCTCGAAAACACTGTTATACAGCTCCAAAAAGGCTGATTCAGCTTCACATATAACTGAACATTGGGCTGGCATCAAGTGGGCAAGCTTAGGCACCTTCCCAGGGTCCACACCCTCGTAGAGGCTCACTAGCGAGAGCCTCTGAAGCTGCTCTTCTATTCCCCAATTGCAGACTTGTTTGTTTGCTCGCCTGTCATTCTGGTACAGACAGCAAGTGGTGGTGAGGATGAGGAGTGGCAGAGGTCGCATCCTGCTTCCTTGCTGCAAAGCATGCAAGTGGCAGCAGTAATGGGAAAAAGGCTGAGGGGCCATAGCTGGTGATGGTGATGGGGCAAGGATAGACTTACTAAGAAAAGGGGCCCACTGAGTTCTTGCCCAAGTGCCCTCAAAGCCTGAATCTGGTGCCAAGTAGACATAATGCCAGGCTGTCTGGTGTGATAGAACCATGTTAAGTTCTTAGATCAGCACCCTTCTGTTTGAAGGATAGGTGTCTAGACTGGGTGCTAATGTTGAAACCTGGGCTTGAAAGGTGCTTTCATGATACTAATCATCAGGAGAACTCTGGCAGGGATACTTTCTGTCATGCCAAGAAGCTATTAAAGGTTAAAAGAACTTTCTTTGGAGCAGGCAATGGCCATCCCACACAAATGATTGCAGCAGACAGAGTGACACTCAGCTATTGATTAGTCTGCTATGCATCACCATATTGTTTTCTGTACCATCTCTCCTGTGTCATCATCATTCTTGTAGAGCCAGAGCTGAGACAAGCGGTTAGTTCTTGCTGAACGTGGTAGAAAATTAGAGATTGGCTCAATGTCATTCTCATCTTTAAAGTGGAAAGGGTATGCAGCTAAATCTCTCCAATGGCATATTTATTTCTAAAATTAATCTATATTATATTTTCCTCTTCCATGGTCATCCCAGGAAGGTGTACAGGAAAAATAGGAAAAAAGGAAAAATAAAAAAATTTAATAGGAAAAATAAAAATACAGTAGTGAATGAATGAAACACAATGCAGTTTCAATCCAATGGCATGGTATAATGCTCCAATCCGAGAGATATTAAAATGGATTAGAAAAGTTGAAAAGTGTCACTCAAAAGCTTAGAAAATAAATGTTATCACCAGTCACTGAAATGGCAACTCCATTGGTGGGAACTGAGTAGCCCTGGACCACCTATTCCATTTGCATGGCACCACCAGCAGAACGTCCATGGGGCTGGTTGACACCCATCTAGCTTCAGGTGGCAGTACCTGGAGAAGAGCGCCAGGTGTAAGTTTCAATGGGTGGGCAGACGGACGCAAGAGCGGACAGGCCCATACATTTCAGCCCAGGTGCACAAAGCAACTTCCTAGTTTGATTCTGAAGAGTTCTACATGCCCAAGGATTCCCCTGCATTCAAAGAACACTCAAGAAGTTCAGCCATTTGTACAGCCAAGGCAAGTGACATTCCCACAGCTACACAGGTCAGAGTTCATGCTATCAGGAAGTTCATAGAGATCATGCTGATGCCAGTTTATGCCACGACGCAACATATTTCTTTGGAATATGGTAGCTTCTTTTGTGCTTCTCAGACACATTGGTGGGTTTGCCCATCACAGCAAGTAACGCTGGCCTCTTCCCACAGCAGGTGGACTTTTGCTTCAACCTACCCAGTCAGATGGTCACCTGTTTCCGATCACAATGCAATAACTGTACTTCTCACTTTGTCCTCCCATTGTTGCTACTCAGCCCAGCAATCCTCACAAGCAGAATCCCCTTCTGCACTGCTCATTCTCCGTGGACTTCAGCTGCCCCTTCCTGGTTGGTCCACTGAGGTCTTGAGGCAGGTTCTCCCTCTTCTCCCTCCCAAGTGCACCTGTATCTCTACAATGTTTCCCAGTCATCCCCCAGGGATGGTTATTTATATCATTATTATTGAATTGAACATGAATATACACTTTTGCCATGATTGCCTCCCTTCTCCCCGTTTCAGAGAGGTAAACAGGGTGATGGGCACATTCCTCAGTCAATAGGAACAAAAGGAACAATGGTAAGTGGGTACCAGAGCCTGGATGCTTAGAGCACTACCTTTTGTTGCTGTTTCCTCACTATCGAGGGTCCAATGGCGCTCCCATGTCTAGGCGTCATGTGAAGCTGCAAACCTTAGAACAAACCACCAAATCTTTCCATGGTTTCAGGAAGCCAAACCTACTGCACTGAAATGCCGTGTTCTTTGGATGCCAATGACACAACAGACCAACAACCATACAGGCTTGCCATGGCTTTTTGTAATGTACACACCTGCCCATTGCATAAAGTAGAGGTAGTATTTTTGTTAGATTTGGACAGGAATCGTGTTCATTGAGTCACAGTGTTCTATAGTTACTGATCAAACCTGTGATCTTAAATGTATTACAAAGCAGTTTGGGAGAGTGCAAATCTCATTGTGGCAACAGATGCTTACGCAAACAAAGGCTTATGCGCATCCCATGCGGAGTGTGAAGAATGGCAGTAGCAATCATCGCTGCCAATGCACTTTACATCATACATTTTGTCTCAATTGATGCTTTTGGCTATCTAGAATTGCAGCTAGTGAGGAGTAGAGAAGGAATTGGCATGGATGCATCTCCAAGGCCCCAGCCTCCTTCCCTTCTCCTTCTCCCTCTCAGGCTCTGAGGCCCAGTTGTGGCCTTAGGGGGCAGCTGGTGCAATTCCTTCTGTGCGAGCTGTGAGGGGACAGGTCAAGGGCTTGGCCTTTGGCGTCAAATGACAGAGGTCAGAAGACCTTAGAGCTTAGACTCCAAAACATCCTATGGTCTTCCAGACAGCACTGGGAATTTCTATTGCAGTCACTTGCAAAGTCACGATATTAGTGGCTAAAACAGAAACAAGAGAATTTGGATATAAAATTGGGGGAACATTCATCATGACCAATTCCCACCAAAATATTTTTATTGCAGCCACTTGCAAAGCTGATTGGGAGAGCTATTTTCTGTAACAGGTAAATGCAACTGTGTGTGTTGTTCATTACACTATACTAGGCAGAACTATATATTGTCCTTGCATCCTCAGAACAACAAAAATGGGGTGTGCCGAAGGGAGCACATCTAGGCTAGCTGTTTGCATCTGATCTGTGTGTGCTGAAAGCTGAGTGGATGGGCTGGGGCTTTCAGAAGGTATTTGAAATCCAAGATCAAATAATGGCATTCAGAAGTATGTATGCAATAATTTATCTTTTCTGTCTTCCTTTACTCTCAGACCTTTTATCAATACAAAGAGTTCTTATTATATACCTTATCTTCTTGGTGCCAGCAAACCTAAATTGCACTAAGTTCAAATGGAACACATTATCAGAAGTATTGCAGGAGTTGTTACTGGCTAATGATTTAATATGGTTTTACAGAAATGTGTAACTTACCCCAAAATTATTCAGAATAAAGATATCTTTGTAAATTTACAGACATTGGTAATTTGCAATTATTTTCCTTTTAGATATGGGTTGAAGCCAGACTTGATTATACTTAGAGCAAACCCATGAAAATCTATAGATTTTGCCTCCTAAATTACAGTGGGCCTACACTGAATAAGCCTAGCTGTGATCAATAGAAGAAAGCATAATTGATTTAGTCATCCACATAAGCCTACGGCCATAAGTTTGGTATATTAATATTCCTGTTATTAGAAGGCTAACATTGAGGGCAGGGGAAATTAAGTAACAACCACATGCTATTTAGCCCTTTTTCAGGTTCTTTGATGTAGATCATTAACTCAATGGTTGGATGCTTTTAGAAAGCAAACCAAACAGAGAGGCCAAAAGGTCATGTTTACTGAATTTAGACATTGTGGAAATTAAGCAAATGTAGAAACAAAGCTCATTACTTTGTTGACATCTTACATATTTCTAAGTCTACCCTCAGCAGCTCTCTGTATGAACAACCCCCATCTTACGGCACTTATCCACTGCTGTTCTCAAAAGGTATTTGGTTATCGTGGCACTTCTGCATTTCTGAATGTTAGCTTTCTTGAGTGCACCAGCAACTGAAAGGTAGGCGTTTAGGCAGGCACATACGAATGGGCCACCAGAAATATTGCACCAAAATAAAACTTCACGATAGTCTCACATCATCTATAATGCAACATTTTTCAGCAGAATGGTATTTTGTGCTACAAGTCCTAAGGGCGCTGGCGGTTCCCAGGGTGTGGTTTTCTGCCTCTCACTCGATCTTTTTCTGGAGTAGCTACTCAGTCTCTGCCAGAGCTGTTTATATTTGCTTTGTTCAGCTGCAGGCTGGTGCGGAGATAAGGACTATCAGGAGAGGCTTCACGGCTGGGGAATCACTTTGCAGCAGAGAGCAGCAACACTCTCAGTGCTGAGAAAAATCCACTTCAGTCCAAGAGAGTCTCGAAAAAATTGCCTGCCAGGTGCTGCTGAGGCCATGCTTGGGCAATGTGGAGGTTGCTGGGGAGAGGAGGACTGTGGAGGAGAGGACTGAGTCTCACACACAGCTTTGTTGCTGGACCAGGGCGCATGGAGAGGTGTGGCCCCAGCCTGGGGAATGTCCCCAAGTAGCCTTGGCCAGGAACCCACATCAACGTCACTCCTGCTTGAAGAATAGTGACGATCACAGCCACGGCCCATCCAGCAGCCTGATGTAGAAAAAAGCCATCTAACATGCAAACAGAGTGTTTACATGTGACCATTTAAGGTGCCGGTAATGACCTATAAAGCCCTAAATGGCTTGGGTCCTGAATACCTGAAGGAGCACCTTCTTCCCTATGTGCCTGCCCACCTCTTCAGGTCTGAGGCAGAGGTCCTTCTCCAGGAGCCCTCATTGAAGGAAATTAGGAGGGTAGCTACCTGGAGAAGGACTTAAGGATGAATTTCCATTTGCTCAGGAATGGAACCTGGGGACTGCCTGTATTGTATGTTGTGGAGGATGCAAAATGGAAACCAGACCACCAGCACATTTGGAATTGTTGCAGTGGCAGTACCAAAGCAAAGCAGAATTTTTGTATATTGTGGGGGGGGGGAGCTGTGTTACAATCTTTGCCAATGGTGACCTATACCATTGTTATGAAATTGTTAGAGAATTTCTCCTCCCACTGGAGAATCCCCCCTCCCCAAAAAACCCCACATTTTTCTGCACACAAATAGGCTGGAGAAAGTTGTGTGGCTGTTTATAGGTGCTCTAGCACAGCGTGTCATTCAGGTGTCAGCACTGAACAAAATCCCCAGGAACAAGGCAACAGCAAGGAGGTGAAACTGGTAGGCTTTGGGCATGTGACAAAGTCTTGTGATTTCCCTGCGTGTCTGCATCCATGGCCAACCTAGGAGGAGCTGTGGGAAACTTTAGGCTCTGAGTGCATAGTCAAGCAGAGTAGCGCTTTCTACTGACCACAAGGTTTGGTTCAGAACCCAGTTCAGCAAATAACTCAGTCTGGTTCAGGCCAGTTTGGAGACCACAGTTTTTTATAATCTGTGATAAAATTTAACTAGGTAAAACAAACAGCATGTCTTAAAGCATATGAAGCAAGTCTGCATGCATGCACGGACACATTAAGTATAAACGACCTTTCTGTATCAAAAGGTCTTTCAGACTCATTTAAAAGTACAAAGGCACGATCATTTCCACACAATGCCACTGCATTACAACCCCTCTGTGGGTCTATGAAGCAAATCTTACGCAGGACCAGAGTTAACAACTGGGCAGATTGAGATGAGCAAAGTGGTCCTTTAAGTAAATTAGTTTCCAGGCCGTTCCAAACTTTAAAATAGCCTGAACCTTAAATTGTGCTCACAAGTGAATAGGTTGCCAGTGAAGTGGTGCAAGATCAATATTGTATGAACCAGGTTAGCTGCTTTTCTCTTACTAGCATGCTGACAACCATATTTTTCACCATCTGGATTTTATTTAAGGGTCATGCAGAGCGTGCTGCAATCATCTGGATGTAACCTGTGCACAAATACCTGAGGCAAGAGCCTCTGTCAGTGGACAGGGCCTCAGATGGCCACCTGAGGACCAAAGGGCAGTGGTGGGCTCAGGAGAAGCTCTGTGCTGCACCTTTGATTCTTCCCAGCCCTGTCCAAAACTGGTCACACATCTCCAGATCAATGGAATTACCAGCCATAGCAGCACTTCTGCCTTCTCTGGATTAAGTCGTAAAGAGACACTTCTCCAGGTTTTTGCCAACCTGCCCCTAGAAACAAACTAAACTATATCAAATGCTTTGTTAATATATCCATCATGTTTCTTGAAAGCTGGAGGAAAGAGTGCACAGCTGGTTTTCACCATGACTTTATATATGATCCACTTAATTCGGTCTATTTTTCCGCTGGCGTAAGAACATAAGAACAAGTTGCCATAAAACTCTCCTGTTAAATCGCATTATCCCCTTCTTGGACTTACAGCCCATTGTCTTTTAGAAATGCAAAGTCATCTCTAATTTTCCACTGGATGTTAAATAAAAGCATCAAAATGCGCGTGTTGTGTGCTCATAATTCCTTTTGTTTAGTTTTGGTTTTTTCAGGGCCGTATGCTGCCACTCTGCTATTTTTCTATTTCTGCTTAAATGCCTTGGACCCACACTTCCTATTCATGATTAATACCTGGTACTTGTTGCTTGTGGGGATAGGAAGATGGGCAGAGGAGAATGAAGGGAGAGGGATGCTACATTACTGGCTGTTTCCAGCCTACACTTGCAGTTGCTGAACCGGAGCACACATCTGCAGCTGCAGCGAGGAAGGACCGGGAAGCCAGTTTGAATGCCAGAGAAGTAACAGAAAAGAATATGCCCCCCAGAGACTGATGTGGATGAGCAATGAACTGAATGAAGGGCAAAGTGCGCGCATGCACACATGCGTGTGCATGTGTGTGCCCACACAACAAAAGATCAAACACTTCTAATGTAGCCAGTTCATGATCTTTCCCCACTGTGACTTTTGACATACTAGAACTTTATTTGCACCTGCCTCTTCTAGTGAGTTAGCAGTGAAATCATCTTCCTTTCCTCATCCATTTACAAATCACTCCTTCGATGGCTCATGCCATCAGCTGTGATCTAGTAGACGAAGGCATGTAGCACCCAGCGCTGGCGCAAAGGGAGATCTCCCTGGTTTCAAAGTCTAAACCACGTACAGGATGTCACATCAGCTGGACATGTTAACACAAGAGTTGATGGCTAATCTCAATTGTTAACACAAAACAAGCTGGTTGTCCACTGCAGTCTTAGTTTTTGTAGGTCAGGGTTATTTAAGGATATGATGGGCTGGCACACAGCAATGTAGGTATTTTATAACAAAAACATCCTAAGTATTATTAATAACAGCATGATTAGTACATAAACATGAGGTGTGATTGACAGAAAACACCCTCTAATGGAGCTGCTTCACTGGGCAATGTACATGCTGCCCAATCGTACTTTTATTAAATTGTTCCATATTCAATATTGGCCCCAACTCAATGCAGAGGCAAGGGAACCTGAACGGGCTTGTGTCTGTTTAATTCTGCATTGGGTTACAGCCGGTATTTATAAAGCTCTTCAGTTACTTAAGTGTTCTTTTTGCTAAAGTCTTAAGTTAAATGGAGTTTAAAAGTTGAAACTTCACAGGGAATGTGCAGAGCTCCTGGCATGCAGATGCTTCCTGATGCATTTCAGTCTCCAGGAATCAGGATGAGATCAATTGCTCAAGGTCCCCAAACAATTGCTTGAGTTAGCAGTATTTTATTTCCAGATTGTCACAGAAGTGGTTGGTGATTTGAGAGCATGAGGCGATGTGCCAAGGGATGTGGGGTCCAACTTGCGAGACACCTGGTGGTCCTTGAAAACCACCAGCACCTGGGACAACTTGCTCACGGCTGCATGAGGGCAGGTGCGAACCTATGTCCTGGGAGTCCTTGCAGGAGTGCTGTATATACAACAAGCATATCTAAACACCAGGGCAAGAAAGTGTGGAGGCCTCTGTGCCTGTATCTTGAAATGCAAGGATCGAGGCAGCAGCCTTTACTCTTTCCATCAGACCAGCTGGGGTGCAGGTGTGAGCAAGAAAGCTCCATCTGCCAAGGCGAATCTCTGCAGCAGATTTCCTTGGGCAGATGGGAGGCTTAATTTTTAACTGGGGACATTGGTAATATGAGGCACGTGGCACCTTTCAAGTGCCCTTGGGCAAAATCTAGCTTACCCTGTATAATGTATTATGTGACTCAAGAGGAAGGCAGAAAAGTAGCTTCGTACTCTGTGCTGTACTGGTCAGCAGTTTACACAGAAGCTAGACACACTGGCTATACTATGGTGGTTGCGGGCACCATGCAACTGGGAATCAACGTGCCAGTCACCTCCATGCAACGTTCGAAGGGCTTTGGCTTGTTTGTAATGAGATATTTTGACTGCCTGAACACCAGGGCTGATTTCTAATTTCTCCGGGGGATGCTGTTAATTTAATTGCATGTTAAAACATTATG